CATCCCCTCCATTCCCCGTCATCTTCCGGCCTGCCTGCTCCTTCTCCGCCCGCCGGCTGGAGCCTCTTCCCCACCTCTCCGCCCCCAGCCCGACCCTCCTCCATCTCCAGGGCTCCTCCACGCAGCACCCTTCCCTGGCCGCTGGAGGGTTAGTGTATGCGGAAACCCAGCCCCAAACTGAAGGGGGGGGGGGAAGATGCTGTACAAGCTCCCCTCCCCCTCCCAGGCCTTTGCCCCTGGGGCGCATAACAACTTGCTACAGCCCTGCTGGGTGTGTGTGTGTGTGTGTCTCTGTGTGTGTTTTCACACCCCTGAGCTAGAAAGTTCCAGCGCTGTAACATGCCAGCATGGACTTAGCCTAAGCCACTTACTGGCTACAAACGCGACTCCGGCTGGCTTTGCAGGCACATTTTTCGTTGCTTGGCAGGTCCCCGTACAAATGGCCCCGGGGTTAGTCACCTTGCTTACAACCTAGATGTGGCTATGGTAAGGTGAGTGCGTAACTGGCTGGATAACCATGCTCAGAGGGTGTATCTAGACTACAGGATTTTTTCAAAAAAACGTCCCATGTCTAGACTGCTGCCGTGCTCTTTCGAAAGTAAATGGAAAGAACGCGGCGGTTTTTTCGACTGCGGAAAACCTCATTTTACGAGGAAGAACGCCTTTTTTCGAAGTGCTCTTTCGAACACAGGCGCTATGTACTGCAAACTGTGCTTTTTGGAGAGCATCCAGACTGCCTGGGCACGCTCTTTCGAAAGTTCTGGCTGTAGTCTAGATGATCTCTTTCGAAAGAGGCTTGTAGTCTAGACGTAGCCAGAGAGTCGTTATTAACGGTTCCCAGTCATGCTGGAAGGGCAGAACAAGTGGGGTTCTGCAGGGGTCTGTTTTGGGACCGGCTCTGTTCAATATCTTCATCATCGATTTAGATGACGGTATAGAGAGTACGATTATTAAGTTTGCAGAGGATACCAAGCTAGGAGGGGTTGCAAGTGCTTTGGAGGATGGGGTCATCATTCAAAATGAACTGGACAAACTGACAAACAGGATGATGTTTAAGAAGGACAAATCTAAAGTGCTTCACGTAAGAAGGGACAATCCGTTCCACACATACAGAACGGGAAGGGACTGTCTAGGAAGGAGTATTGCAGAAAGGGCTGTAGGTGTCATGGAGTACCACAAGATAAACATGAGTCAGCAGCGTGACACTGCTGCAAAAAAACTAAACATGTTTCTGGGAGGCATTCATAGGAGTGTTGCGAGCAAGACACGAAAAGTCGTTCTTCCGCTCTACTCTGTGCTGATTGGGTTTCAATTGCAGTAGTGGCTACAAAATCAACAGGGGACCAGGAAGACCCAAGAGCCTAGATATCTCTCTGGGGTCAAAAATTAGACTTTGAACAATGTAAGTAGAATGCATGGAGACATGATAGCTGTTTTCAGGTATCTAAAATGGTGTCACAAGGAGGAGGGAGAAAAATGGTTCTCCTTGGCGTCTGGGGATAGGACAAGCAGCAATGGGCTTAAACTGCAGCAAGGGAGGTATAGGTTGGACATGAGGAAGAATAATTTTTCTTCCTGTCAGGGTGGTTAAACACTGGAATAAATTGCCCAGGGAGGTTGTGGAATCTCCATCTCTGGAGATATTGAAGAGCAGGTTAGACAGACATCTATTGGGGTGATCGACATGGTACTTGGTGACTCTCGAGGTCCCTTCCAGTTCTCTGATTCTATAATTCTATGCTCTTGCCACATTTTCCAAGCAGCGTAGGGGCTGCCTGCAAGGTTGGCTCCCTCTCACCTGCTCTCGCCGCTCCTAACCGATCCGCACGGCTTGCGACAGCTGCAGGAGCCAGGCGATCGCTGTTACGCTTCGGAAACATGGTCTAGGTTTGGGTCACGCTCCCCATCAAGGTTTATTGCATTTCACTCACATTTGCTCAGCGCCCAGGGGGGTGACAGTGTGTCCAAAAGAAAGCTGCTAGTGCATGCATAAGCAAAGCAAGGTGGGCGGCGAAGGCTCTCTGGAGCCGAGCCACAGAGGAGTCAGTGGAGAATTTCTTGCGTTTGCATATTTGTCCCATTTCCTCTCTGCAGACATTGAAAAACTGGCCTGTAGCTTCTTTCTGGGTTAACAGATGCCCCCACGGACTCTTAACCTCTTTTCTGCCCAGGGAGGCTGTGGAATCTCCATCTCTGGGGATATCTAAGAGCAGGTTGGACAGACACCTGTCAGGGACGGTCTAGATGGTGCTTGGTCCTGCCAGGGGGGTCGGGGACTGGACTCGATGACCTCGCGAGATCCCTTCCAGTTCTATTTATGTACCGATGAGGCTCATGGCTGCAACGATACTGTCAAAAGCCAGGACAAGTTCAGCAGAAGACTCTGAGATCCAGCGCCCAGGGGGTTAGCCCTGCCGACCGGAGCGGCCAGAGGAGCCGGGGGAAGGTGGGTCTTAGAGAACTGGGGCCCAAGCCACCCCAGCTCTACCGACCGCCTGGGTTAGGTGAACTGTGAGGCAGTCCCTGCTGTTCAAGGCCCACGTGCTTTCCTGGACCCGTCTCCTCCCCCCAACACTCAGGCCTTGCCTACACGCAGGCTAAACAGGGGCTGCCCGAGAGGGGTCGGGGGCC